TTTACGGCTTTCATAATATAGTGACCCTTGCGAGAGTAAATCTTCCATTCCGGCCTTAAATGTAGCGAGTTATTAATGAACACTTTCGTATTTCGGAGATCGATTTTTAGTAAGTGAAGATGTGAGATGAGCGTCATATGAACGCATGGGAACTGCACATCCGCGCAGGAAGTCGTATTGCACGTTAACGTTTTTTTTGTGATTTTAGCGTAGAGCTCAACTTTAATTATTGTAGTGTTTGTGTAGTAAGCATTTTTAAGTATTGGGGAGACACAAATGGGCATATTTGATGCTGTAATTTTTTCCAAGTTATCCATTTCGTGTTTGAGACAACCGACCGTGAGTGCCTTTATTAGGTTTGCTTTAAAAGCGGTTTGAATTACCATTGAGTAGACCAGGTAGGATATAAAGATGAACTTTAGTGGACGATTCTTTGGTACTCTTCGTGATAACCCACATGTAGTTACAGAAATGAGATCTGTAGAGATCTGACAGAGCATGTCAAATGAACATTGACCTGTATATAAGATAGCGATGGTCCACCAAGCAGACAACGACACCAGAAAGGCGAATACAATTGAGATCCATACTTCCCACTCAAAAATTGAAGATGAACAGTCGCTTAATGGGACAATCCATACAAAATCGTCATAGTAGACTGTCGGGCTGCTATCGAAACGGGGATCAGTTGGTAAAATGTAATGGTAAAGGATTACATCGGTCTTTCCTATTGTGGTATCTCCTTCTGTGTAAAGATGATTGACCACGGATATATTAAAGATGGTTCCTATGTCCGATGCAATATTTGACATAACGACGTTTGTTACAGTGTGCTCCAGGTAAAATAACACGTAATACAATGGGCATTGATTAAAATTCTCCCATAGAGCGAATCCATTGATTTCTATACTCCATGTGCAATTTTGTACATGGTACTCCTCAAACTCTGTTCCACACACGTTGTTTGGATGATGAGCGTTACTAGTGTACAGTAGTTGTTCATGAACAACAATAACGTTCAATATTTCAAATTCCCACATCACCTTAAACATTTCCCCGGCATCTGGACTTGAAGAGAAGATTACGAATTTACCGCGTGGCGACGATTCCATACTCCAAATCGCCTCGGTCGACTTTAATTGCTCGAGAAACTTTCTCAAATTGTCCGCATCTTGCACGTAAATCAGGTAATTCATGCCGAACTTTAGCGACATGTACACCGGTTGATTACCATCAACAAATATTTGAGGCTTATTCTTAATCCAATACATGTAGTCGATGCTTTCATTGTTAAAAATTGTATAAAGTGTCAAATTCTCGGGAAAAAGGTTAGTAACGATTACCTCCGTACAGACTTGCATTTCCAAATTTTGGTCGTAGATTGCCCAGTCTTCTAATTCTGCGGCACAGAACACTGATAAAATTAGTAGAAGAATGTGTTTCATTGCGTATTGTGTTTTCGTCTAGATCAGGTAATGTGTGCACAGGTTTAGAAAACCAACACATGAAACAAACATTTTTCACCACGCTTCTGGTAGATTAATTTTTGGTGCTGATTGTAAACCTTAATCTTTTGCGTTTTTTCAACAGATGAATATTTTTATCAAACTCTGTTTGTCGCATTGTAATAATAGAAAGTATAGTTTATAATCTAGAAATCTAAGGGAAACGTGTAATTAGAGTCGAACACGAAAATAAACAAATCAATCACGAAAGGCTGCGTACGAATTTAGCCTCAGTTGACATTCAATAATGTTCTCAATATTTTTCTTTTTAAGTACTGGCTTACATAATGATTCTTCGATATGAGTTATAAATTAGCAAGGGAGTCGATGGTGTCCGTCAGTGGCGTATTTACGGGGGGGGGGGGGGGGGATATTATATCCCCCCCCCCCCCAAGAAGAATTGAGTTATCATCATAGCTATTTTTTAGGTATTTAGGTAATACTCCGCTCTCCGCTCCGCCCACTTTAAAATAAAGGCAATAATATATAGGTATATACAGGGTGTCCCTAAAAGGTCTGTACAACGCGCTACCAGGGGTTCTTGGTATCAAAATAGGACGATTTAACCCAACTTACCTCTATCCAAAAGTGCTTCGGTAAGGCGCTATCTACCGCCAAAGATTTAAAAAAAAAATCGTTATTTTTATTTTATCGGAAAATGGTTTTGTCGATTAAAATGAAATTCGGGATGTGAATGTCTAATGTAAAAAGGGTCTTTGTGATATCATCATTTTGATTGTAGTTGCTATGTAGGTGGTAAAATACTGACCATCCACATCTGAAGAGGTCTAAAACTTTTTAACTACTATTTTGACAGTTCTGAATTTTTAGACACTGATAGACAGTTTACTTGCAAGCATTTTTTGTCTCTTGATGAATATCGCTATCTGTGATGGTTTACGAAAAAAAAAAAATTGAGGCATGATGAATGGCATGCACCATACATGCGATTGTTCCTCAAAAAATCAGAAGATGGCTGTGAAACCTTAGAGTGGCGTAACGTTTGTTTGTTGTTTCTTAAACTTGAACAATTTACGTTTTGCTTGAAGACTTAAAATTTCATTGTTAAAATTGTAATATGGCCTTTCAATACAGTAACGCAGAGTTAACTGATATGCTATTAGTGTTTGGATACTGTCGTGGAAATGGTCGCCAATGCGTTAGGGAGTATACTCACAGGTTTCCAAATCGTCATAGCCTACTTCTTGCTTGCACTTATGGTTTTTGAGGAACAATCGCATGTATGGTGCATGCCATTCATCATGCCTAAATTTTTTTTTTTTCGTAAACCATCACAGATAGCGATATTCATCAAGAGACAAAAAATGCTTGCAAGTAAACTGTCTATCAGTGTCTAAAAATTCAGAACCGTCAAAATAGTAGTTAAAAAGTTTTAGACCTCTTCAGATGTGGATGGTCAGTATTTTACCACCTACATAGCAACTACAATCAAAACGATGATATCACAAAGACCCTTTTTACATTAGACATTCACATCCCGAATTTCATTTTAATCGGCAAAACCATTTTCCGATAAAATAAAAATAACGATTTTTTTTTAATCTTTGGCGGTAGATAGCGCCTTACCGAAGCACTTTTGGATAGAGGTAAGTTGGGTTAAATCGTCCTATTTTGATACCAAGAACCCCTGGTAGCGCGTTGTACAGACCTTTTAGGGACACCCTGTATATAGAGAGAGAGCAATTTTGGTTTTGGTTAAAGTCTAAAGTCACTAAAATCTAAATATTCTGTAGTATTCAGTATTCACTATTCAGTGACTGATCAGTGTTGGCAGTCAACGATTTGGCTATTCGGCATCGATCGGCAATTCGCTACATTGATGCCCAAAATAACAAATAGGTATCAGGTACTTAGTACTGCTACTGAGGTGAGGTACCTACGTCCTGCCTTTCACGAAATGACGAAAATAAGAATTTTAAATTTTAAAAACAGGAATTTTTTTTGCCCATAATTTTTGATTGAGACGTCTAATCGAAAAAGTACGAATCGTTTTGGATTCTACGCACCCAAATTAATCAGAAAAAGTTTTTTCCCGAGAAATTTTGGTGCAGTCGATTTTTGGAAAAAAAGGAAGGTTATACACTGCCTTTTTTTTGCCCCGAAAAAAAAATTGTCTCAGATCGACCGGAAAAATTTTTTTTATAGAATGTGGCCTGTAGAATCCATAATTCCAAACAGTTCCAAGATCCGACTACTAGATCAAAAGTTACAGCCCTTTGAATTTTTTGTCGAAATTGGTTTTTTGCCCATAAATATATCTATTATTCAAAGTTTTCGTTGACTAATTAAAGCAAAAGCAATAAAGGGGCCTGTCAGCAGTAAGAAATAAAATACCGTTCTAATCTAATCTTTTTCGCCTGTACAATAATAAATAGATAAATGACTACCAGCATCAGCAACCTGCAACCCAATTTCTATTTCTTACCCCCCCCCTCCCCTTCTAGTACGCACTGGGTGACTGTATGTGCCACGAACTTGTTTATCCCCCCCCCCCCCCCCCAGAATAAATTTCTACGTACGCCACTGGTGTCCGTCTGTCCGTGAACACGATAACTGCCATACGCTTCGGCGGATTCTGTTAATTTCGAAATCGGGGCATTTGAATTTATACATGCGTTACTGTTGGCAGCGGATGTGAGGTGGCTATAACCTCCTCCAAGGTTCCATAATAGACGCTGTCAATAGTAGTATTTGAAGCTTTTTTAAACATCCTATCTTTACAAAAATGTACTCGTAACCAACAGAAAAAAGGTGTTTACGTCCGGTTTCAAATAATCAGCCCTGTGATGTATCACAAACGTTAAACTTAACGTGCATGTTGGCTGTAGAAAACATTCAGCCCTGTGATGTATGAGAAACGTCAACTTAACGTGCAGGTTATCTGTCAAAAACATTATTTTGCATTATTTATAGTACGGGCAAAATAACCCTTTTCTAAAGTAACATGTGCGTTAAATTCAACGTTATTGACACACCACAAGGCTGATTATTTTGCCCATACTAAATAACGCAAAAGAACGGTTTTCGGCAGATAACCTGCATGCTATGTTTGATGGTTCGGATACATCACAGAATTCTATAAGAGAAACTTTCAACAGTAGCATATTGGTGACTGTTTTAAATAGCGTTACTTAAATAAAACGACTAAAATAAAGAAGTTATTTACGTATGGTCTCATCAATAAGGTTTAGTAGAATTTCGTATGTGAATAGATTCAAGTCAACTGGAGAATCCCTTAAAATTATTTTATAGGTTTCTAGCAAGAACTTTTCGAAAATCTCTTAAAGAATATCTGAGCAATTTCTTAAAAATGTCTTGCAGTAAAGAATCGCTAATACAATTTTTTTCGTAAACTACTCCAGCAACTTCTTGTGTTCTAGTAATCAATGATTGAAATGTTTGATTTCTGTTATGTTCTTTATTAGGATCCAATAAAATGATGCGACTGATGGTATCATCGCAAAAAAATTAACATTTCTCAACAGGTGTTGAATTATTTTACAGAATAGGTACATGTTAGGTTGTGCGAAACTAATTTCTAACACGCGAACAATCGTACGGTCTTTACCCTTATTTCATTTCTACAATTCCATCAATATGATCTCTGATCTGCACATTTGCGAGATCTGCAAAAACTCCGGGGTACAATGGATCAGCGCAGTCGTAGCCCCACGAAACGACACCGATCTGGACACCATTAGAGATAAGCGGGCCGCCGGAATCTCCCTACGAAAATTATAATTTTTAATTGTATACATAGCTTGTAGGTACGTTAGGTTAATTACCTGGCAGGCGTCTTGACCTGGGTTCATGAAGCAAATCATTCTTTCCGTGATTTCACCTTCGTATGCCTTATTACACGCTTTTCGATCTTCTTCTTTGAGCTCAACAACTTGCAACTGTTTGGGCGAGGGTCCATCGGTATAGAGAGCTCCCCAGCCGGTCACTAACGCCGTACGACCTCCTTCTTGAGCGTTCACGGAAATCATTGGAATGATTTGTGCCGTGTGTGAAAGATCGATGTCGCTACTCAATTTCAACACTGAGATGTCGAAGTCGGTGGTGACAGGATCGTAGTTGGGATGATCGTGAATTTCGGCGATTGCCACAACAGTACCGCCTTGGTTTCTCAAGCTAGTACCATAGCGAATATTCAGGAATTGAGCATCTTTGCTGTAAGATCGAAAGTGTTAGTCACAAAGTGGTTACCTATAGCATCATTATCCGTACTTGTGTGTGCAGTGAGCAGCGGTTAAAATCAGGTTGCGAGCAATGATGGATCCACCACAACTGTGTCTGTCGAAAGCTTCCAGTGAAACTTGGTGGGGATAATCTTCAATAATAGCATCTGCACCGCCGACAATTTTTCCGTCTAGTCGTCGCAAGCCGGCGTGGAACCTCGGACTTGCTTCTAATTATGTCAATATTCAAAAGAGGTAGTGGAAATATAGTACTCAACTTACCAACGGTAAGTGCGGCGAGCGCTGCAATCAGCACAATTTTCAACATGTTGCTGCTAAAAGGTGACCATATCGTCTCTCATTTCCCTTATATACCATTCTCAAGTGCTTATGTGAGGTGGTTAGATTAGATTTCCTTACATTATCTTGAATATGCAATACACAATGATCGAACTCACTGAAGAATTGATCTTAGTAAGTTTGCACCACTGCTGGCATTATCTAATCATTGGTTTGAAGAGTCAGGGCCTGAAAACAAATGAGAGAAGAAACAATTATGAATATTATATTTTTATAACCTAATTTTATCTTGGATATTACCAACTATAATTTTTATCAATGAGATACATGAGGTGTTTCAAGTAGTGAGTGCGCAAAAAAGGTTTTGTAACGTATTGTATACTTGATTACAACGTATTTATAGTCAATCTCCTGCAATATTAGAAAAAACAGGCATATGTTCTTATAAAATGCTGACCTTGTAGTCGAAGCCTTTCCGATATGGGATATTCTTTGCAATAACGAAAAGAAGGGCAGCACTGCACTGCAAAAGTAGAATAGTCTTAAAAAAAAATACGCAATTATATTCGTTATGGCTGGTTGTCTGGCTGGCTGACTGTCCGGTTGAGATCTCAGCAATTACAATAGCTAGAGACTTTTAATTTTCACTAAAAGCTTATTCTGAAGTCTGTTTTGAGTTAGATTAGATTAGATCATTTTAATTTTTGCTAATAAAATACTGATCTGCTGCTTGTTTACTACTTGTTTAGTTAGATCCATAAGTCCATGTATAGAAAAATCGTTTTTCTTAAATAACAGCTGTTGTAGTGAAATTAGAGAAACGACGACAGTAAAAACCGTAAAATGTACAATGACAATGCGCTGTCCTATATTTATTTTCAAAGATATCAAAAAATAATTTTCTTGCATAGTGACCAAATTCCCAACCTTTCTTTGTCAAAAAATCGTATGGAAAGTATTTTTTCACGATTTTTACTCTGCGTTTCCATATACAGGGTGGTGACTTGCGTAACGCATCATAGGGATTTTAAAGTATAATTCATAACATGCGATTATTGGCTCCCCAAATTATTTTAGAGCAAAAATGTATTAAAGTTTTTTGTAGAAAACATTTTTTTACGCCAAACTGCCGTATTAGTTTTCAATTTTTTTCATATAAAGACGGAAAATAGGGAAAATAAAACCCGCATCTTTTTCAATAATCTGCGATGCCATGGAATTTTCTAAAACAAAAAGATATCCAGTTATCAATTATAGTAGCAGTTCGAAATGGATTTTATGATCGACTTGGTTACTGTCTTGCAGTTAATGGTGACTTATTCGAACGTTTATTGTAAATTGTTATATTAGAAAACCGTTTTTAGTAATTTGGCCTTTCTTTATGTTGAATTCGCTGTTCTAAATATAATACTTTTTGATAGAATTTGATTTGTTTTATAGCAAACATTCCATGGCATGACGGATATTGGCGTAGTTTTTGTATTATAAATTTCCATGGCATCACAGATTATTGAAAAAGGTAGGGGTTTTATTTTTCCAATTTTCCGTCTTTATTATGCAAAAAATTGAAAACTAATACGGTTGATTGACGTAAAAAATTGTTTTCTACAAAAAACCTTAATACATTTTTGCTCTAAAATAATTTGGGGAGCCAATAATCGCATGTTATGAATTTTACATTGAAATCCCTATGATGTGCTAGCCAAGTCACCACCCTGTATATGAACAATAGCATAAATTTTTGGGTGACAGTCAATCGCGAATGTCAATGATAGTATTCATTAGGACCATTATGTGACAAACTTTTGTGTGCAACACATTTTTAAAGTGCCTTTTTTTCATGAATTTGCAAATTTCAAAACTAGTTTTACAAATGATTATTAACAAACTCTTAGAAATTTGTGGGTTTCGAGTAAAGCACATCAACTTTTATTTATTTATTTTATTTATTTACCCAGTAGATCCTAATATCACTAATTCAACGATTACTAGGCCACTGAGTTTACGGATAGGTGATGTATAGTTATTGCGCCATTATGCATTTATTTATTTATTACGCGAATTAAAAACAGAACACAAGAATTATTGCATTACATATTTTTCTTGTACAAAACTATTTTCTGTTCATGATGCCTACGATATGATTCCTGAGGGACGCATGGTCGACGTGTGAGTAAACTCCGGGGAATCTAGCATTTGCACATCCCCATCCCCACGAAACTACACCGACTTGGGCACCTCCAGAAACTAGTGGGCCGCCGGAATCTCCCTGTAAAAAAATGTTCAAAAATGTCACGCGGTGATAAGCGTGTTGATTTACCTGGCAAGCGTCTTGACCAGGGTTTTTAAAGCAGATCATTCTGTCGGTGATTTTGTTACCGTACGCCTTACTGCAGGCAACGCGAGCTTCTTCTTTAACTTCAACCACCTGCAATTGAGTGGGCGATGGGCCGCCGGAGTAGAGGGCACCCCATCCGGATACGAACGCGTGGCGATCTCCTTCTTGAGTGTTGGGAGAGACTAGTCCAATAATCTGAGCCTTGGGGGAGAGTTCAAAATCCTTTTCTACCTTCAAAACTGAAATGTCATAATCTTGGGTGGTTGGGTCGTAACTGGGATGGTCGTTTATCTCGGACACGGCAACGATTTGGCCGCCTTCGTTCTTTAAACTGCTACCATAACGGATGTTGAGGAAATAGTATTCTTGGCTTTAAAATTAAAGCTGGGGTTATTGAACGGATTGATGTTGATCTTACCCGCGAGTGCAGTGGGCTGCTGTCAAGATTAGGTTGTGTGCAATAATCGATCCACCACAGATGTGACGATCAAAATACATAACCGAAACTTGGTGTGGGTAAGATTCGATCGTAGTATCAACTCCGCCCACTATTCTTCCATCGAGCTGTGGAAGTTGAAGACGAGGCATCGGACTTGCCTCTGATATGCAATGTAAGTGGAAATTTTTACTTAAAAATTGAGCTAGTACTTACCGGCTACGAGAGCGGCGATAGTTGCAACAAGAACAATCTTGAGCATTTTGCTGCGATTGCGAAAGGTGATGATGATACATTGCGTTTCGTTTTTATACCATTGTCAAGCACGTATGTGACGTATATAGATTAGATTTTTCTCAACTAGTTTAAACTCACGGTTTTAAGTTTTTGGGCTTTGCTACAAAAAAAAAGGAGTTCGTGGTATTCTAAGACGTCGCTAACCGCTTTGTCAAGACAGTACCAGAGATTTAAAAACCGTTGACGAGACTCGCCGAAACACTATACATTATATCATTAAGTTTACTTACGTGAAACATTATCAATCGCAATTTAGGAACAATGGCGCAATTAACTCGTTGTTTTTTTGACGTATTTGCCGAAGAAACCTCCTATATACTTCCCTTCATAGTGGTAAGGTATTTCAATGTCTTCTCTACAAATAGCAATGCTTTTCGAAGTGTTTTCCACAGTGAAACGTGGATACTACTTTCTGTTTGGTGTTTTAAGAAATCTGCCTCCAAGTTAAGAAATTGTGATGAGGTCCTTTAATTTGATGGAAACTAGACTATAGGATAATCTTTTACCTTTGTAACTTGCGGAATGTACGCAAAGTTTGATCATAATCTACGCACCATCAAAGAGGTACAGAGTTCATTTTTTTTGTATCAAAAATCGTTTGAAATGATTAAGTACGTCGTTAATCAGTTTCATTACATTGTACCAGCTGATAATTTATTATATTTTTTAAAATATCCCATTGTGTATGCCACTTTAGATATTCGATAAATTTCGTGTATTACCTAGTTATCTATGGTTGAAATTACTATAGCTATATTACGTTGCAAAAAAACATCACCTGAATCTACGCCGATAACTGATAATTGATAGGTCTAGTGATTTGTACGAAGCCGTACACGGGCCACATATACACTTGGTGTTCTTCTTCTACAAAAAAGTGAAAATTTCGCCAAAAAAGTGAACATTTCTACAAAAAAGTGGAAATTTCTACAAGAAAGTAGAAATTCCCATAAAAAAGTGGAAATTTCGACAAAAATATTTGATGGCCTTTAAAATGATGGGTCACTCGATGGGGCGGCGGGGGAAGGTCAAATTTCTGCTTTGTTGTCGCCGCTTTCACTTTTTTTCGAAATTTTCACTTTTTTGTCGAAATTTCCACTTTTTTTGAAAATTTTCTTTTTTTGTGGGAATTTCCACTTTTTTGTAGAAATTTTCACTTTTTTGTGAAAATTTCCACTTTTTTGTCGAAGTTTCCACTTTTTTTGTCGAAATTTCCACTTATTTTTGGAATAAGAACACCAAGTGTGTGTATGGCCCGTGTACGGCTTCGTAGATTTGCCCCATTGTAAGGTATTTTTACAATTTGCGCCGCGGCTAATTTGTCCACGTTGTGCGTTAGGATACTTGGCATTCCGTTCAAGTTCGATTCTCTTTTGAACACCCCGAAAATTTTCTACAAACATATATAAGCATCTCCTCCCAGATTTTTTAAGCACGGTAATTTCAACGCTCCTCGTGATGGTTCGTCAATGTGTAAAGAACGAAGAAGAAAAACGTTATTTTGCCTAGGCAAAATGACATTTTTGACAAATAACCTGCACGTTAATTTTAACGTTTGTGATACATTACAGGGCAGATTATCTCCTACCTAAACTGCATTTCGTGACTATAATAACTTATTATCTTTAGAATTAGATACTAATAACAGTACCTACTTGAAATTGTTTTACGCAGACAGGTATTCTTAATGTAATTCCTATTTTTTTTCTTTAATTTAACCACGCCATTTTTCAACTTAAATTGTTACTATTTAACTGTTCCCCTGTATTTGTCCATAAATGGTTATTAACTGTTGGGCAATAAAATTATTGTTATTATTCATACAATTTTTTTGGGAAATGCTCATTATGCAGACTTTGGAAGCAATGCTCAAGTATACTGTTGTGCTCTTCTATTAGGTAGTCGGGTCCACCAATACCCCACCTAAGGCTTCGGCTGCTAAGGCCATTAGCCTACCGTCCTATTTAGTACTTTACTTACATAAAGTATTTTTACAAGAGAAAAACAAACATCAACTAAGAAACATGTATACATAATTACAAGAATAGGTATCACAGATCATCACAGCAAACCGGCACTCAAAGTTTGTTCAAAATTACAATGACTCGTATGAAACTTACCTAATGCTCTTTGACAGTGATCGTGGTAACTTTGAAGAGGTCACGTTCGTTTTTGTATGCTACACAGACACAAAGTATGTGCTCTGGTGTTGACACCACATCTATTATACAAATTTTCACCCGCCAACAAATACATAAGAAGCAGTGTGTTTCAACACACCCGATGCAACAGCGCGTTGTGTATAAAGTGTACCTCATATGCATCATAAGGAGTATCTACTTGCTGTCGTTTTTTTATTATAAGTTATAAGAAAACACAAAAGAAACAGTTAAACTTCTAATGAACAAACTTTTTGTTTAGATCTTATTTGCTAGCATGCTTTCTTAAAATATCTTCAATGTACATTCTCAGCTGCGCGTTGTCTACGTGTGAATATACACCGGGATATTTAGCGTCAGCGCATCCGTATCCCCATGACACGACACCAACCTGAGCACCGCTAGCGACTAGTGGACCACCGGAATCACCCTACGAAGAAAATAAAGTCTCCAAACTGCAAGTACTAATACGATATTTTACCTGACACGAATCTTTACCGGGGTTGTTAAAGCAGATCATTCTGTCGGTGATCTTTTTGCCACCGTATGCCTTTTTGCATGCCTCTCTGTCTTCCTCGTTGAGTTCAACTACTTGCAATTGTTTTGGTGATGGCCCGTCAGTGTAAAGGGCACCCCATCCTGATACGAAGGCTCTACGACCGCCTTCCTCAGTGTTGTATGGTACCAAATCAATAATCTGTGCCTTGGGTGACGCCTTAATGTCGCTGACCAGTTTCAGGATCGAGAGGTCATAATCGAAGGTAATTGGATCGTAACTGGGATGATCGAATTTTTGGGCAACTTTTATTACCGAACCACCCTCCTCCATTAAACTGCTTCCGTAACGGATGCTTAGGAATTGGACCAGATGACTACCATATGAAACTCATTACTAACTAGTCGACTAGAGATTACGATCTTACTCAGTGCAGTGAGCAGCTGTCAAAATTAGGTTGGGTGCAATGATCGATCCGCCACAATCGTGAACATCTAAGAATTGAAGAGAAACTTGGTGAGGGTAATCTTCGATGTTCACGTCGACTCCTCCAACTATTCTTCCATCCAGTTGAGGAACTACTGGACGAAATCTCGGGCTTGCTTCTAATTCGAACGTTAGTTAGGATTATGTTGAAAGATGATTTCCACTTACCAATGGCAAGAGCGGCGATCGCTGCAATCAGCACGATTTTGAACATGATGGCTAAAAGGTAACGATGGTGCATTGCACGGTGTTTTTATACCATTCACGTGGAGCACCGAGATTAGATTTTAACAAATGTGGGACGGATAGTTAGTTATCTTAGAGACAGTAGCTTTTATCGCGACAGTTACGAGTTCAGTTTTTTTATTCTGATCGCGTTTGTAACTCTTGTTCCAAAATTACATATTTACTGTTAGGACCTCTAGCTTACAAACTTAACGGTTCCCACATTGCCGACCTCGATGGTGTGAAGCCTAATGGCACGATGCAACAGGTTCGAAGACTGCCACCACTTTGGCCCGATAAACCTGCTGTTTGGTTTGCACAAGTTGAAAACACGGTTATCTTTAGTACCTCATCACACAAGATCTAACGAAATATTATTACTCTCTGCCACAATTAGACAGGTTATTTGAAGCATATAAGTAAGCATGATAAAAACGATTTTTCCCTTCGGGATGGACTCGGCCTATAAAATATGAAATGCTTGGAGTTTATCCCTGGGTAATGCTAGCTACAATGCATCTATGGAACACTACTCCATTTACGGCCGGGTGGCTCTACCACACTTAGACCCGTATAGCATCTTGAAACGATTATTATTAAGCGATGCAAACTTTTTAGGGGTATCTGTCTGCCTGTCTGCGAACACGATAAATGGCAAACGCTTGGAGCGATTCGGTTCAAACTTTAGGTATAGGACGTCGGATCACACCTCTCTGCCGATTATCTAGATCGCCGCTTTAGACGTGGTTTATTTAATTTTAAGCAACCCAAAACTCGTATTTCAGGGTTTACAAATGGTGAATTTGCATGATAAATTGTAAATGTTTTTTTTTTTTTTTTTTTATTTTTTTATTAATATATCTGCATATTTACAATCTACTCAGTAATACAATTGAGTAATGAGTAAATGTTATCTTGGATATGTACATGTCATAATTGGGTTCAGGCCATTACCGTCTTCCCAGGGTTATACACTAACATGAAACAGTTAGGGGAGTAAATCTAGTGGCCAGGTGCGTTGGAGTCTTCTTGGGGCTGTTGGTTGGCGCGCGAGGTGCCCCACAAGGTCATTTGCATGTCCTGGTAATTTAATGTTGTATGCCTGTGCGAATCTTTGGATTTCAGTTGTTACATGGGGGATTTTCAGGTCGGTGTGGATAGAATCGTTGCTTATATACCATGGTGCGTCAGTGATTATTCTGAGTATTTTAGATTGTATTCTTTGTATGATTTTTGTATGGGATGCTTTTGCACAGCCCCAGAGTTGGACACCATATGTCCAAATGGGCTTTATGATTGTTTTATAGAGCAGGACCTTGTTGGATAACGATAGCTGCGAGCGCCTTCCTATAAGCCATTGCATCTGTTTTAGTTTCAAGTCTATTTGTTGTCTTTTTTTCTTGATATGCGCACCCCAGTTGAGTTTTTCGTCAAGGTGCATACCTAAATATTTTATTTCGGACTTAGTTGGGATTTGGATGTTGTTAAAACTAGTGGGAGGGCACGCAAGTCTTCTATTGGTGAAGGTTATTTGTGCTGCTTGTCGCTGTTTACTGTGACCCTCCATTTGTTGGTCCAGTCTTGAAGGAGGTTGAGGTGGTTCTGTAAATGATTTGCCGCTGCTTCAGGTGATTCACTGGTTGAGAGGATGGCTACGTCGTCGGCAAACATGGCAATAGTTGTGTTATTCGTGGTTGGTGAGTCGCATGAGTAGATCAGGTAGAGTAGAGGGCCTAACACACTTCCTTGCGGTACTCCTGCTTTAATTTGATGGTATTCCGAGGCTGAGTTATGTACTATAACTTGAAAGAATCTTTCGGTGAGATAGGATTTTAGAATTAAATAGATCTGAGCTGGGAATTGTAGTTTGATCTTGAACAGGAGGCCATCATGCCAAACCTTATCAAAGGCTTGCTGTATATCTAAGAAAGCAGCTGCAGTTAATTTTTTTGTTTCAAGACTTTCTATTATTTGATTGACAATCCGGTGGCATTGGTGTATCGTCGTGTGGGCTTCACGAAAACCGAATTGGAAGGTCGGAATTATCTGGTCGAGATTAACAGTTTCTTTAATTCTCTTCAGGAGGAGTTTTTCAAAGAGTTTGGATAGTAGAGGCAATAGGCTTATCGGTCTGAAGGAAGATGGGAGGTTGGGTGGTTTGCCAGGCTTTGCGATCATAGTGATCCTAGCATACTTCCATTGTAGTGGGAAGTACGATAATCTCAGTATACTGTTGTATATTGTGGTGAGGAGGACAACTGCTTTTCTTGGCAGATGTTGCAATACTTCACCTACGATCAAGTCATAGCCAGGGGCTTTTTTTGTGTTCGTGCGGTTGATTTGCTGGCGTACTTCTGACGGAGAGAATGGTTGAATTGGCGGCGAGAGTTGGCACGGAGCGGTTAAGAAATCCTGAACTTCGGTGTCATTGTAGTTTTGGTGTGGGTTCGGGGTAGCGAATACGGTGGCAAGGTGTTCTTCGAAGGTGTCTGCTTTTTCGTTGTCAATTCTGGCCCATGTATCGTCAGGCTTTCTGATTGGTGGTATTGCTATTGTGGGTCTCTTGAATTTTTTTGTGGCTTTCCAGATTGAATGATCAGTAGGAGAGAGATTGGTGATATATTTTTTGAAAGTCTCATTGCGGGCTTCCGTAAGTGTGGTATGCAGTTGATGTGTAAGTCTGTTGTAGATTGTCTTGTCGTGCCTGTTCTTTGTTATTTGCCATTTTTTCCGGGCTCTTCGTTTCTCCGCGAGTAGGTTACGTATATGACGAGGAATGTTTTGTAATCGAATATTTATTGTGTAATGAATGCAACAGTTATTCTAACCGAGATTCTAACTTAGTTTATATAACTCATCTTACATTCAATCAATGGAAAAAATATACCATAGGTATATATGTTTAGCCACGATCACAGACAGTACTTTTCTTGAAAAATAAACAATATACCACAACGTAATAGTTTCAAAATGTTAAATTGCTAGTTAGTACCACAACGGCGTACACTTTAGAACTCCCTTGTGAAAAAATTATAGCGTACGTATTGTATCCAGAGCGGTAAAATTGGCACTTGTGACTTGCGCAACCCAACACTTCAAAAAGAAAGTAATTTAGGAGACACCACCGGTTGGTTGTATCGTTAATTCAGTGACCTAAAAAATTCAGAGTTGTATCGCTACTTTCATGACACACAAATGTTTACTTCTACATGAGGTGGTGTACCAAGGAGATACAAAATCGCATCGGCGACGTCTTTGCTTTGTATCTTTGGCAACATGCCTATAATTTCTGCGACACCCTTGAGCTTGAAAAATCCGTTGCTTGCGAAAATCTCAGTATCTACTAAACCTGGACTGACACTCTGCAAAATGGCGATTAGTTAGTGTGTGTATGCACGCAAAGCGCTTACCGAGACTTTAATTTTGCTCCCGATTCTCTTCAGATCGTTCCTCAAAGTTTCTGTTAGAGCCGTAATGGCATGCTTGGACGCGGGGTAAACGTTTTCGGTCGCCAAATTGAAAACGCGGTGTCCCATCACGCTGTTTATGTGTACAATGTAACCGTCGATGTTATTCTTCCTCATATCTTTAACAGCTTCTCTCGTAGCAATAGTCAAACCCAGAACGTTCGTGTCCAAAACACACTTAAAGTCCGTCGTCTCACCTTCGATCAAATTTGTCGGTCGTCCCGTTCCCGCGCTGTTAACCAAAATGTGGATTGGGCCCAGGTTCTCTTGCACCCACTTGAACGCAGTCAAAATGTCCTCTTCAACTCCCACGTCTGCTTTCAACGCGTACAGCTTACCGACCTTTGAGTGCAGACGCGCAGCGATCTGCTCGATTTTTTCCTTTCTTCGCGCTAACCCTGCGACCTAAATTGGCCAATCTTAACATAAAAATATAACCAGGAAGTTCACTTACGATACAGCCGTTATCAACAAGTGCCTCTGCAACGGCGGCTCCTATGCCGGAACTTGCACCCGTCACGACGGCTACCTTCCCGTGCCAGCGTTCCATTTCGACTGAAATTTAGTAGAAAGTAAACTTTCTCAGATGAAAGTAGGATTGCGTGCCGCTCTGTGTTTTTATTAGCACTTGTTATTAATTAACGTTTTCAATGCGTCGCGTGAAGACGCTCCATTTGATCATTGATGGTCGTTGGCGGCTATATTGTTAATGCGGCAATGTCGTAAGGGTAGATTAATTAATCGAATTGAACATGCGAAAGCAATTATCATCTTTCCAAACCATGCTAACATGTAAATTTGGAAATTTTAGGTAACTTAGGAATGTAGGTACTCTCTAATAGACTCGAGTTAAACATATTTACGTTCCTATCTCCACTTCCATTCTTCAGTGTCAATTGGCCACCAATCTTTTTTGAGAAGCTTAAGTTAGGTATATAGTGTGTTGCTTACTAGAAAGCAATAGAAATGCAATAGAATTATTTAAATACAGTAATCTATGTATATTTTTGGTCAGGAATCTTTTTTACTAGTAAGTACAATCAATCGTTGTAATATTATCAAAGTGTGTGAAGGTGTCACAGATCATAATTTGAAAAAACCGTACACTAATTAAATAGTATTTCTGAAATTTGGGTATTATCTACTTTCCATGATCCAGAGAGTAATGCAGGATAGTATCATTGCCGTAGAAAAAAAACCATCCAGGGAACATAGGTTTAAGGTAGGTTTTCATTTTTAGCGCGCTATTGTGGCCACTTTGTCCGTCCATCTGTCCGTCCGCCCGGTTGCTACTAGTTCTTTATCTGAAGAGCTATTGTTCCACTTTTTTCGCTATTTGGTTCGTGATGGTGTCGAGGCTTGCATCAAGGAAGGCATTTTTTCTGTGCCGTTTACTTGAAGTAGCGGGTCAAAATGGATTGCACATATGCAACGAAATTTTAATAGAAGTTGCACCTTAAAAATGGGAAATGAATGCAAGTGGAAATTCGTTTTTTATAAATCGTTTACGACTACTGTTGCTTGCTATTCTTTTAGAAAACTGGAGTAATAAGAAAATTTTGTATAGAGATTTTTGAGTCTTGAAAAGGTAGCAATCGGTGTAACTTGGCTAATTAAAGCCACCTGATAGTCTGTAGAAAAGCCCATTCGCAAAGGTTTACATTTCTAGACAATTTCCATTTAATTTTCGATTTACTTTGGTTAGTAAAGTTGTCCATGACAATGGGTCAAATTTATTGATTTAGTAGTAAGCAGGATTTTCTTGTAAAGAAGGTTAAGTGTTAATTTTCATGACTATTTATATAAGGGTGATAGGGAAACAACCAAAATAAAGAATAAAAAAGGGATTTATAACGACTTATTGGTATATTCAATGTATGGTTTGAACCCCTACTGGAATACTCTTTCTTCAATGATGCTTTCCTGTACCATGTAACTCCTCCCTAAGCTGAAGCTGTCAGACCTTGCACAATGTTGCTTTGTATTCGGATTGAAAATCACGTTGATGTTAGATGTATGGAATTGGATCATAAACACGAAAAGTACTAGGTACCTCCGTATCCACAGTGACCTACCAATCAATCAATGTCATAGCGCAATATTTATACATATATCTTTTCATTTTGTTTAATTAAGATGTCATTCGGAGTCCATTTTGACTTAACTATTTCTCCATCTGAAGAAACAAGGTTTATAAACAAACACACAAGGTTCATTAGACGAATTTCAAATGAATACCATCGGCCCGTACAAGAGATCGTTGCGCTCGTATTGATTTACTACAAATTCCAATGCGAATCAAAGGGTAACGCGAAGGGAATGACGAAGAATCAACTCAGGGAGTTTCTGCACAACACACTGGACCTCACCGATATCGACCTGTTAGAGTTTATAGCCTCGTCACTGGACGCAACAAGAAATCCGACGCCGATATTCCCAATGGAGCGCTGGGTTCGATCGATGCTTCTGTTCTTTTATGGCAACACCGAGGATCGGATTGATCACTGTTTCAAGGTAACTGCTAATGTTGCATTCATTGATTCGCACACGAACTGTAGGTCTACGACCGCTATCAAGAGGGTCGCCTAAGCCGAAACAACATGATGTCTTTAATGAAAAATTCGCTAATCGTTGACGAGGTGGAAAAAGAGGACAGCGTCAGAGTGAGTAGACTATGGTGAATGGTGGGTAGATTGTAACTTAAATTTAGGATTTTGTCGATCTGCTTACAAAACGGCTGGATTGGGATCACGACGGCATCGTGTCAAGGGAGGATTTTGTTAACTACGTTCGACACGTACCATTAGGATTAGAAACATTTGGGCAATGTCTACCTAATCGCGAGGCCATAAGAGCCTTCTTGTCGTCTTTCTCTCCTCATGTACGTAATGTTAAATGAACGATGATCGGTTGTCAATAAAAAGCTGCTTCTGTAACTTCTTACTTTTAGGTCCCTTGTAAGGCAACCATGCACAGCTATTATTACGCAACTACGTACTAAGTGTTTAATATCGCAAAAAATTATTCTTTATTAGAATTTGCTTACTACTTCTATGAATTCATGGAAAGTACAATACCTAGGATAGAGATAGAGTATAGTACCATAAATTGCTTAGGGTTTTTCGATTTACGAACCCATTAAAGTTGCTAGGAAAAATCTGAATCGCTTGGACGTGGTTTACAGTGTAAATGAGTTACATTGGCAAGTTTTAGGGTTTTTTTTTGTACGTGTACAAATACAAAGAAGGAAAGGACATAAAATTAAAAGTCCGTCAAAAATTATACGTTCAAACACGTAAACATAAGCAAATGATATCAATTTATAATCAAGAAGATTATTTAGAGAGGGTTCAAAATCCAGTATCAGTATAGAATAAGAGACAATGGCACTCGAGATCCAGATATTAGAAATGCTATCTTTTTTTGAAGTTAACCTTTTGGACTTACAAACTACGCTTTATTAGCACCGATTCCTTAATTTTGAATAGAGCACGTACTTGAACTTCAAACTAAAACTTTTTTAAGAAACGTCTGAGGTACCTAACGGAAGGTTCGACGCACTTCGAAATCTTGTTGCTCGACTAGTAATACTACCAATATCACGACTAAAAACGCTTTCCAGAAGGTGACTTAGAAACGTCGCTCTGTAATCTACGCGTAAGGGGTGGCACGGCAGCATTCAGTCTGACTGGTCGTCTTTTGCGCTCAAGGGTCATGTAAACAAACATCGCGACTGCATAACAGCGTACCTCGCCAATGAATTAGGTAACTCACCGGGGGGCGTTAGCCCCAAGCTGGCACTAAGCTGTCTTGGATCTCCGAACACTCCGGTTGGCGATTGGGGCTGAATGCGTCGTTGGAGATGACTTCCTGAAGGGTTAAGATGGAGCTCATACCTATTTGGGAAAGGGTTACGCCGCGCGCACGTGTATTATTTAGGATACGGTCCTCTGATCAGGTCAAGCTCACCCCGGAACTCTTTTTGTTAACAATGAGGCCTTTATTTTTCGTATTGGGTTGACGCCATGATCTACTCAGCGATATAATCAACGGGAGCTACCCGCGGGACCGCGTCATAGGCACATGCACATAATGCACTCTAAAAGCCTAGGAATATATCCGGATATCTGCGAGGGGTTTTACCTAATAGCCCAACAACAAAGCACGACCAGCACGATTCTCCATTTTTTTTCTTCATTCCATCAGACATTTTTTTTATTCATTTTGGCCAACATAGCAACCTGAATGGCGGTTTTGATTATGTATCTATAATTTATCCTTTGCAGTTTAAACCAAGGGCCAGGGATCTTATCTAAGTACTTCATGCGTATACTTGAGAACAGTATAAAAGCGAAACGCGATATATCGTCCTCACCTTTTCGCAGCAACATGATCAAGATTGTACTGATTGCAGCGCTCGCCACATTGGCCGTTGGTAAGTCGAAACTTCTTTTACTAAAATAATTAACTAAAGGTAAACATTTAAAAATCTGAAGCAAGCCCGAGGCTTCGCGCTGGAGTTCCACAACTAGATGGAAGGATTGTGGGTGGAGACAATGCGAACATTGAAGATTATCCGCATCAAGTTTCGCTTCAAGTTTTAGACATTCACAACTGTGGCGCCTCGATCATTGCTCGCAACCTTGTTTTGACTGCTGCTCATTGCACATCCGAGTAAGTTTAATTAAACGCGCTATTAACTAAAGGTAACATATGAAACGTTTCAGCTACGAGACTAGCTACTTAAGCGTCCGTTGTGGTAGTAGTATCATGGAGAAGGGTGGTCAGGTTCTTAAAGTTGCACAGAAATTCGACCATCCTAATTACGATCCAACTCGCACCGACTATGACCTTTCAGTTCTAAGGTTGGTCGGAGAAATTGAGCTTTCGTCCAAGGCTAAGATCATCGACTTGGTTCCTAAGTACATTCAGGAAGGAGGCCGAAGTGCTTTCGTAACTGGATGGGGTGCTCTTTACACAGATGGCCCGTCACCTCAACAGTTGCAAGTTGCCAAAGTGTATGAGGAGGATAGAGAAGCATGTGGAAAAGCATACCGCGGCAAAATCACCGACAGAATGATTTGTTTCAAGGCTGACGGTAGAGATTCCTGCCAGGGAGATTCTGGTGGTCCACTTGTGAACGGTGGTTATCAAATTGGTGTAGTTTCATGGGGGTACGGATGCGCTGACGCAAGATATCCCGGTGTATATTCTCACCTGAATAATGCTGTTCTTAGAAAGTACATTCTGGACCATATCAACATATATGCTAAAAATTAAGTTTGAACTGTCACTTCGCATTAGCAATGTAGTAAGAGATTTTCTTGTACTGATGCTACATATTTGTGAATACTTCAGTAATAAAACAATGCAGTCAAGAAAAATCTAACTTGAGTTCCTTCTCAATATAAATGTAGTAGGTGATAATACCGATAAACAGATAACTATTTAAGTTACGAATACTTGGCAACTCGATTTTACAAATGTCCTTTCATTTGAAATCAAGCAGTCGCCCCTGGATGCGCATCTTGTATGGATGAATCTTTTTGGAAAGATATTGCTTCAGTGTTACAGTAACAGAAAGCTTCAAAATAATTGAGTGCAGCAGTGATTTCAAAAGCGACTTTTCGTAATCTCTTTTCTTAGGGCAAGTCTGGCGAGCGAGTATTCCAGTGGGGGAAAGTTTTGTCTGGGTGAATTATCCAATGCAAAAATTATTTGTGTGCGAGTTTTCTCGTGGGCAAATGTTCGTGGCCTAATTTGCCGGTGCGAATCTCCCTACAATCACTTAAATATGGTCCATTCTGAATTACACATGGGATCATTGTACATGATACTCGTAATAGTATTCTCATAAAAGAATCGGTATCTTTTTTAAAGATACTGGTAAGATCATGTCAAACAATCAGTGTTGCGCACAGAGGCAAAATGGTTACTGGAATAGTGCTTTTAAGATCGAGGGTTGTCTTTTTAAATCGAAAGGATGTAGTACGTTGGTCTTTCCAGCAGGAGTTTTATAGTTAATGCTTGTAACGAGTGGTTTTATTTCGCTCCGAATTTCATTAAAAAATTCGAAATTTCTTGTCATGATAGTGCAGGTCACCCTGTATATTTCATTATTTGTTCCGGTTAGAAAGTTTGTGATCATTTATGTTTGGGCATTTCGGTTCGCTCAAGACTATGGTACGATAGATTTAATCTCGCTCAAATTTAATTTCGTCGTGGGAAGATTGCAAAGTTGATTGACGTCATCATGAGTAATGCGAGATTTGTCGTTCGTTCCGAGAATAGGAGCGGATATAGCACCCAACCACCCAGGGATCAGGGGTCTTCATTCGTCAGCAGAAAACCGTGAGATTCGCTTACGCAGCAGTTTCGTGGAGGCTGATGACGAAGCTAAAGTGGTTTAAGTTTTTTTTATCTAAACCAATGGGAGAATTTCTAGTGGGAGCCATTTTTTGTTTTATGGTAATTTGGGTGTGGTTTTCTCATTTGAATTCTGAAGAAGGGGATAGTTTTGGAAAGACTCGCGGTTAGTACGTAAAAGGGTCAACACGTACCCTGAGCGATCGTCTTGGAGCACTTAGCGTTTTGAGGCGACGGATTATTTCGGTTGCTCCCATTTTGCGTGCTTCTTGCACCCCGTTTAGAAGTGTTATTCTCTTTTTGCGTTGAATTTTTCGGCAACGAAAACCCAGGTTCCGATCAAGTGATATTTAGGCGAACCACTTGAGCTTCACACCAATTTACTTTGGATGCAGTGAATAGCGTTAGGATACGTTGTGATTTCTCGAGGATATATAAATCAAAGTGCTGCCCTATTCATCAAGGCGCAGATATTCGGGATCAGCCCCAGGTGGTATTTCCTACTAGTGCCGTCGGAACGTGACCATAAAAAATTGTGTTCTGCCGTGCCGCTAACTTAAAAATCCGTCTCCAGCAGGCGAGTCAAAGTCAATAAACTCTAAGAGCCGGTGGAATGAAATAGTAGGGGTCACTGTGTTAAATTAAATACCCCTGCTGTGTAGAAACTTTGGCAACTAGCCGTTTCCCACTCACCACGCGAAGAATTTCCTGGACTAAGATTCCGTTTAAATACTACACTTTGCTTTCGTTCCGAGGAAGGATAGGCCCCGTGGATTTTGTTTCCGTGTGTTAACTTCAAGCAACCCCCTAGGAAGTCACAGAGACCTAAGCGTCAGGTTTCACCACACCCACCCTGTACCAGTGGAAAGAGCAGTTCACAAGATCGGCTGTACAAATATTGTAAAGGTTAGTCTAATTAAATTTGTAACGTTCTGTAAAAGACCACTTTTTGGTAATCTAGCTGTAGTAAAACTTGATGTTATTGTCTATAAAGTCCAATGAACGATTACCAAAGAGTAGGATAAATTCTGTGTTTATTTAAATAAGGAAGTCCCAGCTCACGCTGGAGTAAAAACAATTACCTATTCTTAAAATTTTCAAACTGTAGAGGATGGCCTGGCCACCCCTTGAGTAAATTAGTCTAAACTGGTACGATTTTATTTAGTTTAGTTGTCATTGTTAAGCTACATTTTTATGAGTAGGAGAGAAGAACTGCTAGATCCCGGTATTTTGTTTGTATATATAAATAATGTAAATATATTATCTACTTAGCTCCAATGTGCCTATTTCTTTGACGGAGAACTAGGGGAAAGAAGAGAGGAGTAGGAGTTGCGTCAAGAGACTGGTAGGCGGCAGGTTAAAGTTGGTACACAGTTTCTAAAGAGTTAAAAGCCCACCGATTTGAGTTAGCCGGAGCATTTAATTTTTTGTTTGTAAGCAGCCTGAAAAGAAAACGGTTTGCCTTGCCGGGCGGAACCGATGGTAATTTTCAAGATCAGAAGGAACCCCCGTAGCATGCTATAATATTATTTCTTTATGACTGATATTAGATATGTAATTGGTGCATCAAAGAATTTGCTCACTATAGTATTTTTATTTACTAATTAGTCTAAGTTGTCATACTGTAACTTGAAGATCTCTTGTACCATTAGTTTGAAGCGATTGTCCACCCATTCATTCCGAATACAGCTTGTTGACAACCACCAATTTTTCCATTCCAATTTTTACAACTCACGCGCGTTTAGCCAAATCCCGTCCTTCGCGGTGGGAATTAGGTTGGTGGGATCAAACTGCAGGGAGCTTCCGGTCTTTTCATGCAGGCGAAACGCAAATTTCCTCAAAAGCGCGATCAATCCAACCTTAGCTTGCATTAGTCCGAAACGGGCACCTACAAAGTTTCGATGCATACAAGAAAATATCGTTTTGAAGATATGATAACCTATGCAAATTCGTGGTCCTTCACCAAACGGCAGGTAAACGTAAGGATGCCGTTGGATGGAATTTTCATCTGAGAACCTCGCTGGTACGAATTCTTCAGGATTTGGGAAGTATTCGGGATCGTGGTGTAACGCGAAGACGGGAATGTAGATTCTGGTCCCCTTACCGATGGTGGCGTCACTTCCTGGTATTTGATAATCCTCGACGCACACGCGCGGTATTAAGGGTGCAGGTGGGTATTTACGTAAGGTTTCTGAAATGATAGCGAAATGAAATGGTCATAGTGGGGTAGGGATGACTTACCGTCGAGTACTTGGGAGAGGTACTTCATTTCCGTAACCGCCTCATATGTAACCGCCTGGTGTTTTTCTACAATTGCCGAAATCTCTTGCCGAAGTGTGTCTTGAATTGCCGGATTTTTCGCCAACTCGTATAGACAGAACGCCATGGTGGTTGATGACGTTTCGAAGCCAGCCAGGAAGAATACGAAGGTGTTCGCGGCCATTTCTTCGATCGAGAGGCGGTCATCGTCACTTTTACTGTTCTTCAAGTCAATCAAAATTTGCATAAAATCTCTTCGATTGAGTGCATTAGTTTCTCGATAGGAAACGGTGTCATGTACCAATTTCATGAAAAACTGTGTGATGTGATTTGGTATAAGCTTGATATTCAGCCATTGGGCCAGGCCAGGGTTTACCATTGCTATCGCAGACGCCAGCGTCTGTCCTTTTATTACTGTTGTGAAGACGCTTTTCCCATACCGTCGAAATTCACTATCAGGATTAGCAAAACTGTCACACTCTACGCCGAAAGCACAGGAGCCGATAACGTCGGTTGTGAAACAGCCTAAAAGTTCCTTTGCCTCGATAGGGTTGCTTTTTCCAATCGCTTTTACGAGCGTCTCACTGCATCGCACCAGGGTTGGAAACATAAGCTTTATTTTTCCCGACGTGAAAGTCGGCGTTAGTTTTTTACGTAACTTTCCCCATTTTTCACCTTCCAAATTAAAAAGATGTGCGCTAAGCGGGTCGCCCTTTTCGTTCGCATATGTCCCACGATCGGTGAAGTACCGAAAATGCTTGCTCATTATGTTTCTTATGTAATCGGGATGTATAGGTAAATAACTGGGTGAAGAAAAGAAGTACAGACCTACATGATTCCATCCTTTAGCTTTAAAGTTGGTGTAATATTTTTGAATGCGGTGTCCTATGTATTCCTTTCTAGCGAATGGGTTTTCGGCAGTACCAAACGGTATCGATGGATTTATGAATGGCACCTTTCTTCGTTTCCAATACGTAAAATTCCATTTAAAATACACGTACACGACAACTATAGATACGATGAAAACAAGTAAAAGTAACATTCTCTATTTAACCCGCAAATTCACACTGCTTGATCATTGACGCTTCAGATCATCGGAGTACCGCTATGTGAACGAATGGCGCCGTTGACCTCCTCCCGCCACATAAATTGTGATTTTTTGTTTACACTCCGGATAAAAAGCACTTTACCAATCAAGAAATGAAAAGATAGGCCCGTAATATTTTAAAAAACCTGGCAGAATATATGTAATGGCATAGGTTTTGCAAAACTGGGTCAAGAGTTATAGGTGCCGTTGCCGAATTAACTTACCTGGTACTTATTTGTTCATTAATTGCACGGCCACATGCAATCAGTTCAAGCCGAACATCATAGTTTTGCGGACCAACCAAAAGACACCAATAGTGCTGCTTTCATTGGTAATCTAAGGGGGAAAAGTGCGCAAAATACATTGCGTTAGTAAACGAAATCCCATAACCACTTGCTGAGCAGAAATTACTTGACAAACTTTTAAAAATTTCAAAAGTTAAACAAGTAATAATTTTTGACTTAACTACATGTTGCGAAGAACACTGAGATCCATAAGTTAAATCATCAAGTCTAAAAGAAATGGCAATACCAAACAGTGAACAACTTAGTGTTGACCTCTGTGGCACTCCATTGTAAGTAGGCGTCACTGATTCTGATGGCAAATTATGTTCTTTCTTCCAAACATGATCGTACAAATTTTGGTGGGCGCCCACTATGCTTTTGAGCCGGAGTACCAGTGGAGAGAATTAAAATCTACAAGAATAAATGGCGGTGGAAGCTGAGTTGTAATTTCTCGAGCTTCTTCAACATCGTAAGTTGTATTTGGAATGTGAATCTTGCAGAGTGTCTGCTAGTTTTAAGTTTGACTGCTGCAGCCTGTTAAGTTGTATTTAATTTAACCTGTTTACAGGGCCTTTCTGGATGTGAAAGGCTAATCTTCCACAAGCTCTTGCAGATGAGCAGAAATTTTTTCTGATAAGATTGAAATTTCTGATGTTCTACGTCTAAGTGATCAATACACAACAGAGACTTGTTATAACAAGTCTCTGATACACAACGGTGGGTGCCTTTGTATGAGTAGTTTTAGTTCGTTTAAGTTATTTGATAGCCCTCGACAATTCCATTGGATAATTTTCAACGATCAGCATTCTTGATGGTTTCGAAAACTCTTTCCCAGACATTTTTTTGATTGTTTTTCAAACATCCGATGTTGGATTTATTGAACTAACATAATTTTGCCAGTATATTTCTTTTACTTTCAATTATTACTTTTCTAGCTGCTGCACGTGCCTTTTTGAATGCGATCATTGTTTAAACGATGAGGTTTCGCTGAAACCATCTTAGCATCTGCTTCTTCTCTTCGATAGCGTTTTTAACAGCAGGTGTCCACCATTCCATTGTTTCTCCTTCTGCAGCGTTTATGATACTCTCAATAAATGTTTTCACCTTATTGTCTATGCCAATATTAGCTTCAGCTTTCCAATTAGCACTTTCTATTATCCATTTTCTAGGACACGATTCTCTTATTCTTTTTAGGGGACTCTCAATGCTTATTGGCCAGTAGTCACTCTTTTGAAAATCGTCATGCGCGTTCCAGATATAAGTTTCGTTGCAATAACTGGCGAGGAGAATGCAAGATCTACTGACCTAAAGATATTTGACTTCCCAAGAAATGCTGAGGTGTTTCCGTATTCAATAGTACCACTAGGTTATTATCTATATCTTCTTCCAATAAAGGTCCACGGGCATTTTTGTTTCCCCAACTCATGGAGAGAGCATTGCAGTTTCGGAGTAGCAGAAGTGGCTGCGCCAGTAAATCTTCAATGTCTTGTACATGCCAATTGGAATCTGGGAGATATATGTTACATGCAGTAATTTTCATTGGTGTCTTTATTTGGACAGCATTGGACTATAACCGGGTATTAATTGTTACTTCCTTCGCAGGGGCGTGAGATTGTACGTATGTGGCAACTCCTCCTGGGGCCCTGTTTTCGGTTATAAAATTTCGTCCAAAGTTAAAAGAACATGCAATATCACACACTATTTACTATCATAGATTGTAAAGGTACTACCTTCCGGTTGTCCTTTACTATGATGATTAGACCTATCCCTCATGGTACTCTAATGAAAGGTCTCAACGAAAGGAATGAATTTCTATCAACCATAGTCCTCCTCCTCGATCCCTTATAATGATTGGATTATAATTCCTTATATCTCAAGAACAGATTGTCGGAGGAGGGTACCCACAAAGCGCGATTGGGATGTCTGGAAGAGATATATCCATTGGTGATATCAAAACTTCAGTGAAACTATCCGCAGGACGGAGGGTCCAGGACTCTCAAAGGGCGGAAAGATAGTCTGGCTAGACGAGACACATCTACTGGCAATGAGAAAACTTCATTGTGAATATCTCGAAAATGTTGGAGGAAGGTACCTAAATGCAATATGTCGGAGAATTTCTCTAAGGGCTTGATTTTGAATATATGCCAGGCGGCCTTTAAATTTTTATGTGTCATCCATTGAGGACGTTAACGCCGCATGAATGAATGAATGAAGGAATGAATGAATCCAGGTTCTATCCGGTTTTTGCAGATCCGCTTGAAATATGCGGCATAAACGTTGCAGGGTTGAAATTCGATCGCATACCTAGAATACTTCAACTCAATCCGACAAAATAGGAGATTCAGTTCAACCAAAGATCATACTCTTTGATTCAACGCGTCTATATACTTCGGAAATCGGAATGGCATAAAGGGAGTTGAATTTGGTCAACTTAAAGTTGAAGAGTACTTTCGACGTATCCACTTGAGATTAGCATGGCATAAACACCTACGCGGATTCTTTACATCCAATCGAACATTACGGCGTAAAAGTTGTCATTGATTGGCAAAGCTGTCATATGTTGACAATTCCATTTCTGCCGGCCAAGTACAAGACGATCCGGTGCACGATGGGTCACCTACCTTCAAGGGTGCACATTTGGAACCTTGCGTATCTTACAGCGTTCAGCCAGAGAATACGGGATATTCGTACTCTATGCTTATTCTGTGGTATAGCGATTCAATGAACCCCTTTGCCTAACCCCCTGTCACACATGCAATGCAGCTATATTGCTCATGACGAGACTGATCGAGGCCGCTGTAGTGAAAAGTAACCTTTTTGTATTATGAGGTGTAATTGGATAAAAATTAATGAACAAACTGCACACCTGTTGTCTCTCGTTCCCCAACTGGTTATTATAAAAAACGTACCCCTACACAATTTTTCTATCTGGAGCCTTTTACTTTCTGCATATGCATAAATAATAATAAGTAATAATAAGTGGAAGAGGGTAGATGCGATAATAAGTTTGTCTAGATGCCCTTTTCTCACATGATTCGTTGAAAAATTCAAGAATTAGACAGATACCTACTTGCAACCGAACGTTATTGGAGGTAAATTCAATTTTAAGCTAACGGTACGTTTACATCATATACGACGAAGGGTCAGTCACTACCGTGCACCCACCCCACTCTAAGCATTGCAATCGGCAATGTGTTTACAGAAAAAACACACACAATGCAATGGTGGGCTGTTGCAAAAAAAAAGTTGTCAAGAATTATGTACATCAAAAGATGTTTTCTTTTTTATCCTATTCAAATAAAGCTGGAGCAACCGGTTTTAGTGATGGCGCGTCTGCGTAGAAGAAGCCGAAGAACCGGCTCAGCAAACTTTTAATGCCAGACTTCGACTCCATTTATTCAATAGACGGTAGCCGATGGTGACGTTTTCGCAAACACTGCTCCGGTCAGTGTTCCTTGTTCGTGCGATTTTCCTCTTAAGCGACGACCGCAAAAAAGTGTGCGTGTTTTTACCTCTGAAGTGAAATAATTGTTACACCGGATTGGACTGCGCTAATTAGGCGCAATGACTAATTAAGGTAAATTTGAATTTATTCTAGATTCAATCCTTCAGCGATTTCCCTTACATTGAAATATAATAAGAAGGCCTATCGATTAAACAATAAACGCACGCCTCCAATTACCTGTTCCTCCTTATAATACAATAACAATACATTATTAATGACTAACCGAATGAAAGGTAGTTTTGCTCCCAAGGTTTATTGAAATTGTTTGAATAAGTTGTCTTCATAATCTCCGAAAAAAACGATTATTTTTTATATTTTCCAATTTTTTAATGAGAAGACCACATATTTCATTTTGGGACATTAAGAATGTAATTTGATTTTAATAACTTTGCGTCTATTTATACTATTTTCCTCATCTACCTATTATTAGACAGAGTTTTTCAAGAATATTGTAATAGGTAGCTTAAGAGTCAACAGTACATGATTCTATACGATCGGGCAGGTAAAACTGTAGCACCACTCGCAATAAGTTCAACTCGAGGTTCCCTTCAACATCAACATACACTTCTTAATAGTCACGTACATTTTGGTTATGTTTAATAGTACTTTAATATAACTGCATTTTGTTGCAAACCATATTCTAAAGTTTCGTCGGCGAAACATTGGTTTGCCACGAGGTTTGCCATTGTTGAAGTGCTAATGATGAACGTTTTATAATTGCTGTATGTTTCTCCGTACATAAATCAATTTACAGAGGAAAAATATTTTTTCTATTTCGGTATCACAATGATGATTATAGTCGTTTTTTTTTGGTAACTCATCTCTTAAGTTGGCAGTTACTAGTTATTACAAGTAGGTACTTCGTTGGGTACTTCTATTCCATGTTTGAACTTCAAAATGTCAGTCTTACTACGCTGCCAATCTAAAACTTAACGGCATAAAAAGTGTTCCCAACATAAACATGTTAGTTCTAATGTTCCCTATAGTTTCTGATAATGATTTTTTTAATTAAATTAAAGCACCGAAATAGAAAAAATAGTATGAAAAACGCGCGTTACAATGCTTTGTTGTAATACTCCTATCTTACGGACACTCGTGGCTACGCTTCGCGTCGCGACTCGTGCCACAAGACAGTCGTATTACAATAGGTCGCATTGTAACACTTGTCTTTCAATATACTATTAATTGTGATATGAAGTCGCATTTCAACCACACCAATACGAGTAGAATGTAGTGAAGAGTGAACCAACAAATACAAGTAGGTAACTATTTTTCACTCAACGAAGTAACGCAGCATATACCTCGGCATATACACCTACAGTGGCAGATTCACCCGTAAACCTATACACGTCCTAGCACAAGTGAACAACACAAAACGCTTTCTACTAAAAAATACACCACCCATTCGTATTCAACCCTCTCGCATTTGAATGTTTGGTAACATAATTAATCAGTTACCCCTACTTAAGCTTAACTAGTACTTACTAGTGCTACTCCACGAACGTGAACCGATTTAGCTGATTACCGAAATTCTATGAGATTTAGTTCTTAGGTATTTGTTGCCGAAACTCGATCGAAACTAGCTATCGAAAATTCGCTTTCATTTTCGAGTTATCCCACAGGATAGACGAACGGACATACAATCG